ACATAACCAATAACCTACCATAGCCAATAACAAATTAATGTAACTTATTTAATTTGTGTTGTTCATTCATATCTTATTTGACCGAGCTAACATTTATTTATTCATGCATTTTTTTAATATCTCCAGTTTTAAAGGATATTTTTGGTTACTGTCCAAGTATACATTGAAATTATTTCAAACCTGTTTATCCAAATAATTATAAAGGAGTGCCTTGGAAATATGTGTTTACATATATTGTGACCAAAACGTTTCAGACCCACTGAGATGACTTAGACTAAAGTTAACTATCTAAAAACTCAGAGTCCTTTACCTCACTGAGCTGTAGTTATCAGCCTCTCAGTCTGAGTGGAGAGGACTCTCCCTCCACATTATTGTAGAAACATCTTCTTCTTATATCCGTTAGCGCAGCTAGCACCAGATTCTAATAACAACAGCGCCGGTACCAGTGCGCCCTTCTCTCTCTCCCTCGCTCGCTCACACGCTAATACCGGATTAGTTTTGGAAACTAGAAGGTCGGGGGTTCAAGTCCAGAATCGGAGCAAGGATTGGTACTTTGAGAGGGGACAACCTGGACCTTATTTCACAATCTTTGTGGGTCTTTAGATAAGTGGGCAGCAATATAATCTTACAGTATAATTCTGCACCGTCAATGCCAGTCCAGTAAAAGTGGAAGTAACTCTTGACGGCCACATATCTCTCTCTGGATTAAAGGAGAATCAAAGCAGGTGGGAGTTTTGTACGCACGATGAGCGGCTCTTTGTTGACGTTTTGCATGTCCAGAGCCACCAGGTACTCCCGGCTGCCCAGGTACAGCCGGCCCTGGTCCTGGTCCATCAGCAGGATGCGGTAGTCGCTGGTGTTGAAGGAGAAACTGAAGGGCCGCGCCGCCCTGGTGTCCATCAGCTCTGTGAGGGGAGGGAGGAACATCTTAGACATTTGGAAAACCAACAGCAGAGGGAGATTAGATTTACTGTATGATCCTAAAAGGAGAAATAGTTTGGGCATGGCAGCATGTCACAAAGCACTGAACATGACTTGGAATACAAATAAAATAAACAGTAATTATATTCATGTTTGATATTGTTGTTATTATATTTGTTCTATTCAAAATTTTCGCAAAACCACATTTCAATGAGATGAATCAAGTATTCTGATTCTGATCAGACAGGACACACACATATATCTAAAGAGTCTAATACAATTTAAATGAACATAAAGAGTCACAATAAAATGTCCCATAAATCATAAAATAAAAATAAAATATGTATACAAACAGAAATGTAAAGTAAGAATGTGCAATAAATAATACAATTAAATACAAATGTCTAATCAACATAAGAAGATGAGAAGAGGGGTACAATGGCAAAGACATTATCAAATAAAATAGAAAAAAAGTATTTGTATCCATTAAAGGTGGGCTAGGTAATTTTGGAGAAACCAGCTCGAGTGCGCTTGGATTTTAAAAATAAACAACCGGAAAAAATCTGCCCCTTCCTCCTCACAGAGCCCCTCCTCCGACACACACGAACGCGCACATGACCAATGAGGGCACGAGATAAGTTTGTGCACAGATGGAAGGCTGACAGGCAGGTAGGCCATCCAGTTACTTTAGCCGGGCCGGCTCAGATGATTGGTCGTGCTTTTTACAGCGCCACGGCTTCCACAGATGATATTTTTATATTTATTTTTTGTCAAAGCACTTCAGATATTCATTGCTATCGGGATGTTGAGAGCATTCCATGGAATATAACAACAAGTGTATCTCGAACTAAATTACCTACCCCACCTTTAACATGTTTTATAGCCTGATCTTCCTCTTGTTGTACCATGTGAGGTATGTACCTTGTATGTTCATAAATAAAAACTTTAATTACAAAAAAAAAAAAGAACCAAACTCCGAGCAACAAGGAAAGTGAAGATATATTCACTTCAAGCAAGATCATACCATAAGGAGTGCTGGTGAAATAGGTACAAGGCCTAAATTAACAATTGTAATATTCTTCTCAGCACTAGCCTAATTGCCAAAGTACAATTGAAATACATACGTTTTCAGTTGGGACAGAAGATAAGCAAAGTTTCTGCTGATGTCAATGGGGATCTCACTCCACCATTTAGGAGACAGGAGAGCCAGCTAGTTGCTACTATCTTTGAAGTTTAAAATGTGTGTCTGTTTTTTTCTCGTAGGTTTCGGATAGTTTGCACTAGGATCATCACTCACAAGATGTTCGACCACATCGTGTTGCTCATCATCTTCCTCAACTGCATCACCATCGCCATGGAGAGGCCCTACATCTCCACGGTTGTGAGTATCAAAACACATTTAATATTAAAAGCATGAAATTCATTACAAACTATATAAATTCACTCTGCTAAGTTAGGCACTACATACTGATATACACCTGAACATCAGCAGGAGAGGACTCTTTAAAGTAGAGACACTACATACTGATATACACCTGAACATCAGCAGGAGAGAACTCTTTAAAGTAGAGACACTACATACTGATATACACCTGAACATCAGCAGGAGAGGACTCTTTAAAGTAGAGACACTACATACTGATATACACCTGAACATCAGCAGGAGAGGACTCTTTAAAGTAGAGACACTACATACTGATATACACCTGAACATCATGAACATCAGCAGGAGAGGACTCTTTAAAGTAGAGACACTACATACTGATATACACCTGAACACAGCAGGAGAGACTCTTAAAGTAGAGAGCAGGAGAGGACTCTTTAAAGTAGAGACACTACATACTGATATACACCTGAACATCAGCAGGAGAGAACTCTTTAAAATAGAGACACTACATACTGATATACACCTGAACATCAGCAGGAGAGGACTCTTTAAAGTACAGACACTACATACTGAT